AAATCTTGGAGGAATGTTCCCTGTCCAAGTAGATGTTAATGCACTGAAAGCCATCCGCCGTACAAGCATGGTATCCGCGTACGGGCCCGCCAAAGTTTTTTCGGATAAGGGGAGAGGGCGTTAGGCTGGGAAGGGAAGGCATACTTATGTATTTTGGAATTTTACGATAAAATCAAAAATATTCTGCCCGTGTTTCGCCCCTCCCCCCAAAGTTAGTGGGAATTTTTTCGTTGCTGCGAAGACGATATCGTGTTGTTTTTGTCAGGGAGTGGGATTCGGGTTGAATTCTTCGCTAAAATCAGATTTTCCGGGGGTTTTTTTTTTGATTTTTTTCTTTTTTTGAGGTATTTTTTAATGGTTTTTTTCTTCAGTATTACAATGAAGAAGTACTGCCTATTTTTTAATGTTTTTTTGTAGTATTACGATGAAGAAGTGCTGCCAACAACAAAGGAGCAGAAAGCATTTGAGAAAAATTTATTCCAGAAAACAAGCAAAGCAAATGGTACAGGATAGTTTTTATGCGTTTTTTCGCATCTATGCAATGCAAAAAAGCATATTGTCGAGAGGGGCCCACATAGGGGCCAATAAAAATTTTTTGCATGTAAGTTGCTAACTCGGGAACCAGAAAAGCTAGAAAGCTAAATTTTAGGGGGATGTTTTCTGACAGTTCTGGCGGCCAGTCTCAGTTCTTTTAGCTAGAAGCATCTACCGAAAAAACCGGTGCCGTTAGCAACAAAAACCTGCAGGGAACTATGCAAAAAGCGCATCTTTGCACCGGCATTCAGTGCGCTGGCTATTTATCTTTTATTTTTTAAACGGTCAAAATGGTGAATGGACTACATAGATCCTTCTGCAACTTCAAATACTACTGCATATTAGCTGTACTTCTGGATATTGTTGTGTGGACTCCTGGCGCATCTGTTGTAAGCGATGATCATAAGGACGAGGGAGGCCGAAATTCGCTTTTTTGACGAGCTTGAAGAGTATCTAAGCAGAGAGAATGTGGAAAAAACAGCTAGTAATTTACTTCGGAACCTAAAAAAGGAAAAAAAATAGGAGGAAAACGGAAACCAGGATTGCCAGCAGTTTGACATTTGGTTCACATTAAACAGG